ATTCTGCACAAACTACTGTTGTTCTTGCTTTATTCAAATTCATCAATGGGAATAAGTGCATGAATAAATATTACTCAGTGTTGTGTGTTTGGCATTCACCGCGGCAGTCATCGACAAGATATATGTAATTTCCTTTGAAAATATGATTGTTATTTGTTAGGGGATGAAAGATTTCTTCAGAGAAACTGTGGAGTCGGATTGAACTCGTACTTCTTCACATAGCATTTTTTCTCCGCTTACGACGTTATTCTTAATTCCATTGAATGTCAATATAGTTAAAACCAACCAAATATATTAGGTGTTCATCTAGTCTGGATTGAATCTATGTGGGTTGAATGAAACCCTAATATCTTCACCATTCGTTTTCCCATTTTTTGTAGTATGATTCCAGCAGAAGGTCTATAGCCATTTCCTCTGTAATAATACACATTAGAAGTCGTGGACATCAGATGCTTCCTGAGAATTCAAGATTTCAATAGTTTTGCAGGACTTTCATGGGAACTTGTATGCTCTGCATTCAACAGATGCAATCTATGCATATGCAGCAATTCCTCCGTTTTAATCAGTTGCTCTCTCATCTCAGTCAGCTGTTGACGAATGGACAACCAGCCAGCTTCCATTTCACTCACTTATTTCCGAAAAACTCCGCAATGATGTTCTAAATCCTTTTGCACACCTGACGCTGACTCAACAAAACATTCAAGCTCACGGATCCTTTCACTATTTCGCTTATTCTCAGATTCCAGTTCAACGATTTGAGTTACCAGTCTGCAGATTTCTTTCTCCTTCATTAAACAGGAATTCTCAGCAGCTGAAAGTTTAACTGTCAAATTTTTATTCTTTGCCTGTAAGCGACCAACCAATTCATTGCTACGTTTCAAGCGCTCTTCAACCTCTAACAAATTTTTTCGTGTTTAAGACAGATCGCATCGTAACTCGGCTACCTCATTTTTAAAAACACGTGATACAGTTGACGCTTGAGTTTCTGAACTTGTAGTGAAGGTTTTCATTGGATGAGATTGAGTATTTTGAAAAGTTGAAAGACACATTGACTCCATTTCAGTAGACAGATTGGGACAATCATAAGAGTTCTGAGTAACAAAAGTATTCGAACTTCTGCAAACAGTCTTGATGTGCCCAACTTTACCATATTTATGACACTTAGCACCCCGAAAACGGCAAGTGCTTCGTAGATGAATCTTTCCACAGGATAAACACGGTTTAATGTTTTTGATCTCTCGCTGCATTCTATTACATGTGGACGACAGTTTGGATTTCTTTCCATGAACACTTGTATTTTCGACTTTGGACAGCATGACATCAGATACTGACGTAGTGGGAGCAGAGTATTCATTATTGACATCTTCATATGTAATACATAAATCTTTAGCAGTTTGAAAAGTACAAGAAGGAATCTGAATTAACTCTTTCTCTAATTTAGGAATATTGATTCCAGCAATTAGACGATCACGTAGTTGAGTATGCATCTGATCTCCAAAGCTGCACTTTGAAGCTTGTATCTGAAGCTGAAGAATAAAGTCTGTACTCTTCTGATTGGGAGCACCAACCAGTTTTTCAGTCACCACATTAGCTCATTACAGAACACTGTAAGATTCTTCAAGGAAGTGAAGAGGAAATGTTGAGGACTGTTTCTGTCATCGTATGCAACACCACTGTATCACATGATACACTTCAGATTACTATTTCACTTGTAAATCCTGGATGTAGAAGAAATATTTTGGAACTAAATACTCTGAGGATTTCAGTGTCATTGTTGTTTCACGGCTGTACTTGTGAATGTCATGTATAACATCCTTATGTCTGTGCAGTAATCACCTGTACTCTAAAGCCTGACATCTGATCTGTATTCTTCTCAAATATCATCAGAACGTTTCCCCCCGTAGTTTAGATACTCAGCCTACACTTATGTTAAAATTATCAGCATACATTGAAAACATAAGTCAAAGTTGATTATCAGTCAGAAATAAAACCGATCAAAGTGGATGAGTAATAAATATGTTTGAGAATTTTCTGACATAATCAAAAGGGTTGTCAACTCATTGTTTGAGTGATGAATAATCGTTTGAAAATAGTTGATGTGAGAAATGGGAAGAAAAGATTGGATGTGATATTTGAAAAGCATAAAGTAGCCCATATAGATCCTATCACTCAGTTGGTTATTCAGGTCAACAAAGAGGAGAGGCAAGTAGCTACTAAATCCATAATAGTAAAATAAGTTTAATGAAACGTTTCTGAACAGAAAGTTCAAGTTTCTCGTAAGAGATTGCTAAGGCTCTAGATGTATGAAGCAGATGTAGGTGAAATCTCTTCTAACGACTCGCTTATACTTTGTACATGACTTTCAAAGTATTCCCTAATGATTTTGTATAACGACAAGCGACCGTAGCCTCCAGAATTGATGTGCTGATTTCCTCCTTTCGACAACCATGTTTGAAGGTGTTCATGGGCAAGTCAGGGGGTAGTTATTACTCATCCAGTTAATTTCTTTCGTTACGAAATTGTTCGTAATAGTTGACCTTGGTTCTCAATTAACACTGCCTATCTAAATGTTTTGATGGCTAATCCAGTGACGTAGTATGCTTCTTGGCATGCAGATGAAAATCCTGATAATATAAGTTGTCAGAACTTGATTTGAGTCTGATAACTTTTGATTATCTCGAGCGGAATAAGATTTCAGAAGGACGTGGTGACAGTTCCTCCTTCAATATACTGATTGCATAACTCACTGGAGTAGATCTGTTCATATTATTATTCTGTTGGATATTTGAAGTCGATTACTCAGATAAAAAGTGATAATCTGATAAAAATTGATCAGAAAAAACTGAAGACGATTTTACTAAGCTGAAGTATTGTAGGTGCAGAGCTTTCTGACGAATGCTTCCAACCGTTTCACCTATGAAAATTTCAGAGAGCACGGCGATGGCAAGCCACCAAGATTGATGAACATATCGAAAATTCGACTGACAGAATGCAGCCTACCCCAGAAAAAGTAGACTAGACGCATGACACTACTACTTACTAACTAGTGTACAGTCAAAGTAAATCATTGTTTCAGGATTTCATCATGAGCTGACATTATTTAGAGAATCATTGGAAAACCTGGAAATACTGGACAGCTGTTTCATCCTAGTTTGGGACTCTTCAGCGGTACACACCCACCATGATTAGAACCCAGGACCTTCCGGTACAAGGCGAGCTCGTATACCATTAAGCCACTGGTACCCGATCGAATGGTTCTTGAATTCTAACTTCTGCCAATTCATGACATAGCGCGACCGCTAGCCAATGTCTTCGGCGAGTATTTGTCCTCACACCCGACCAGCTGCACCCTACTGGTCACGACTTCCCACTACCTACCTGAACAGGGCCAGTCGGCAGTTAGCATCTCATATCTCATGTTCAGGGTTCATCGCATGAAATCTTCATATCAGTTCTAATTAATACACATCTCTGACGACATCGCCACCTTCTCTTCTGATTCTACAATTGGCTCAAAACCTTAGTGGCACGAATAGACTGCTCAGAAACACTATAAGATAACTGGAGTTCCAGCTAGTCATTCTTCTATTCAGGATTAAATGTCGAATAGTCTAGCGCTTATTAAGTAAATTAAAATGTATTTGTTGCACAATACTTATATGCATTCTACCAATTACTGATTCTTAGATTTCATGATATGGCGGATTTGTTTCTATCCCTCGAGAATCCTTCCGAATCATCAGTGAGGTTTCTTCATTGCTTCAATTGTTGATACCATCAGAACGGGAGAAGGCAGCCTAAATTGTTTATTCCATAAAAGAAGACAGGTATATAAATGATATTCTCGTAACCCCTGACTCACTAACTTTAACTCTGTATGCCTGTGTGTTGCACCAAATTCCTATTTTCTCAGGCATTCATTCAGAACCCGAATTTATTATAAATCTTATTTAGTTATCAACGATGTTCCACTACCGACATTAGTAGTAAGTATCTTGATGTGTTAGCTTTAAGGATGTCATCATCTGCAGATACTAGTGCATACTTCATTATAATCTATAAGTATATTTCTACTGTGGTCAGAACTGAGCAACTAAAACATTCTTTGTACTGTAGGTGACGTCCCTCATTCGCTATTTTTATTCTGTGCTTACAAGTAGGAATGTATATTCATTAAAATATGTAGAAAATCACTGTTTCTCCAGGATCTACGCATCCAGTAATATTCATTTAAGAACCGTGAATCCATCTTGCAATGAAGGTTGATTCCACTTCACTCTTCATTCTCACCAATCAGTGAGAAAATAAAACGACTTGTTCGAATTGAATTAGTTATTGACCTTACATAGAAGGACTTTGCACCCTCAGTAGCAAATTGGGTCTGTAAAATAAGACGTTGATAATTTTTTCGCTTACTCTGATGTTGAGTCGCATATTGGAATTTTAGGTTCATGCGTACAAAAACATGGAAACCATCACATTTTATTCGACGATTGTGAAAAACGCCTTTTTTAGTGTGAGATGTGGTAATAGAATGAACTACGACCATTCGACAATATATTGCCATATCGATTATCGTCATCAAAGTCACAATATATATAAGCAGATAACGTGTATATTTTTAATCGCATTAACACAAATCCAGGAGTTCCTCAATGTACGTGAGTTACAGCTTAGTCATTGTTGTTATTCAATCTATACTTAGGGATTCATTGCTAATTCCAGTTCCCTATGAATCTTTAAATCTGATCATGGTTTAACAGATATGCACATTCTTGATGTTAGAGAAGGTTAAAGTGAAATCATACAGTTAATTTCATCGTTATTATTATTATGATCCCATTTGGGTTCAGAGAGCAGCTGATCGAATTCGTTTGAATTAACATCTAATTGATATGTCATGGATGAAACCAGTGTTCACATCTAAGATCTTCAATCTAGTAGATATGCGTCATATTTGAATAACTTTATTCACTATTAATGGATATATGACCAAATATGTTTAATTGTTTCCATAGAAAACGAATTCAATTGCGTTACTGCTCAGATATCTTTTCGTATATCAAATAAGATTCTATTCGTGATGCCTAATTTATTGATGTGTATCCTTCCATATGATGAACGAGTTCTCCTTGACGGAACTCAGAAACTAACCAAAAAACGAAGTAGCTAGTTTTGCTAAATCGTTTTTTATAATTTCACTCTTCTCAAAACCGATAAGCCGATTCATTTCACACCACTGCTAATAAAATTTGAGAGAATTAATCCACGCAGCCACATGCTTGTGTCGCAATCGTAATCTTCATTCTAACATGATCAATTGATTTTGATCGGATTTACATCTTCAGTTTTCTTGTCTGATGTCAAAACATTTCTAGAATATCAGAAGATGATACGCTTCAACTCATCTCGTACGCCTTCAACATACCTGAGGAAGCAATCAATGAGTATCTTCAGCTATCTGTGGGTATGGATACCGTGGTTTGGTAAAAATAACTTCTTTCTAATCTCAGTTCATAATTGATTTGATGGTGATGGTGGTGACTACAACTGTGATCATCGTTCTGTTCATGAGAAAGTATAATTCAACAAAGTAAATGTTTAAATATTATTTTGGTTTACAGGAATGAACTGCGCGAATTTTTCATGGGACGGTTCTATTTGGTGTATATCATTTTGTAAGTTCTTTATTCAGTGTTACCCAGTGACCATTGAATAAGTGTCTGTACACTATGACAACTTGAATTCACTGATAATACACATGATTACAACGTTTTAGCGTACATTTCAACTTAACTTCAAAGACTAGTGAAATGTAAAGCATAGAACGACAGTGTGTGAAAAGTACATCACTGAAGTCGATGCATTCTAATTTAAATATAATTTCGCCAAAGTATAGCTCTGCTCAGTTATCAAGGTCAAACTGCATTGTTCTGCCTATCTCTACTCCAGGAATAAGACTTATGAATCTGATATGTAGTCACAAGATGTCTACTTTGTTTTTGACAGTTTCATATATTTTGCTATGTGTATATTGATCGATACTCCACTATAAATCACAATATGCGTCAGTGGCACAGTGTTTAGGACCTTAGCCAGCCATGAACATGGTTCTGGGTTCGGTCCCCTGCCGACGCACACCTGATATCAATGGTTGGCCTGGAAAATTTGGGCTACCGATGTCACATGCTGACTATTTCATACTTGTACCAAAAATACGGTGTGGAATCAAGCGGTAATCGAAGAATATAAAAATATGCTTTGTCTGTCCATTAACTAAATAAACAATGTATGAATTTTTTGTCACATGTCATTGCAACCAATCGGAACCCAATGAAGTTAAGGAAAACTACTGTCTATCTTACTGGTTCATGTATGATAGTCATTTTCATGTATACTTTTTAACTCTACAGTCAAGACACTTTTTGTACTAGCTTTGACACCTTTCGTACACTACGTAACTTTTCACTCACGCACTTGTTTGACCGTCGATTTCTGTTGTCCAAAAATTAACTTATCATCGTGAACCTGGTGGTCTTCTAATTTTCTCCCTTCACGCGTCAGGACACTTAACTACTCAGCAGTACATAACAGAATCGGAATGAGAATGCAATACATTCTGTTAATAATGTCAGTTTCAAATAAGAGGACTGGATTGTAAACACGTATACAGTCGGATATAAAATCATTATTACTGGAAAATCAAGATTTCGATATTTCCTGGTGACCATAATCATGTAATAAATCCTTTCGATTAATTCTATGCTCATTCAGATGAATTTTTCATCTTCGCAAATTGATTTTAGATCAGTCGGCGTCTTCCTGTTCTCTCTGTCTGTATTCGTGAAACAAATCCGTTCGAAATCTCTTCCTGTTTGCATAATGCTTGAATTTACAGTAAGTGTGAAATTGATTTAATCTAAGATCATGAAATTGGGAGGATTGTCACTAATTTGTGTGTAAGTGATGGATATTAGATGGTATATTTTAAAACGTGTGTACACATATGCATGTAGTCAGCTTATCTACTCATTTCTACAATTCATATGACATGCTCTCGTTACCTCTATTATTGCTACTATTGTCATCAAGATAATAGTTCATTTCATGAACATCAATAGACAGAACACCAGTAATTCAGCGGAGAATTTCTTTTCAGCGAATTCGCTGAATTACATTCTAACTCAATGCACAAATTCTACTCTTACTCTCTTTCTTTATTCACCTATGCATTTGGAAAGACAAGTGAAGCTGATGCACAGTATACTCATCATATGAAATGAGGAGTGATTTGAACTCTTCGAAAATATCAGACTATCTGAAAGTGGAGTGAATGTTAAATGATTCCTGCACACTCAGGCAACACAATGAAGCAAAATGTGCAGTTAACTACTAAATCAGCAGTCTGTATGGAATCACGTTGAATACTGTCTGAAATTCAGTGACACTACTTCTCCTGACAGATGCTCTTTGCAATCTTGTAATGGTGTTGTCACTGCAGAACAAAAATAGAATTTTGTAATGGCATATAATATTTAGCAACTCGATGTATAGATATAATCAAAATATATGTACCTTGTATTGAAGTCACAAGTTGCTTATATCTTATGTATTCCACTCATTCATCTGCCTTCCCTTGTTTTCCACATAATTTCACAAGAATCATTCATTAATTCTCCTTATCATAAGATCCATCTGTCTGCTATCCGATGTTTCCCAGGTGATACACATGTTTCCATCTAAATCTACATACTGCTTAAAAATCTTGTCAGTAGCATACGACACAACATCAAATTTTGCCACATAGTTCAATGAAATAACACAGTCGGCAGGTTATTATGATTTTTTCTACTGCTTACACTGACTCCATTTTGGTTCATCAAGGTCGAATGAGCTCATTATATTTTCACTTCATGCATAATAAGTCATTCCAACCCCACTCATAGTGTGATGTACTTATCGATGGGACGTGTAAAATATTTCATAGCTAACGGAATTGCATCGTGTTTGAGAAACAAGTCTGTGAATGTAGAAATCCTAGACAGGTTGACGATTACTTCAGCATTTGATTGCTGTTGCAGCAACACTGATGAACTACTGATGACAGAATGACATACACCTTGAGGCAGACAGTTTGATTATTTTTCTAGTGTGAACTGTTGTCTTCCAGTGATGGTATTAATAACATCATTCTTGTATTGAAGTGAGGTTGGTGAGTATTTGCATTTACGATGAGTGTTATGTGCATATTATGTCCGAATTTACAAGAAAGTAAATATTCATATGTTTTTCATATTGTTTTCTTCTATATCTTGTTATAGGATATACTGTGGTCTGTGTGCTTGGCTGCTAACTTGCCATCCTTCAACATGATGCTTGTATTACTATCACTGGCTCCGACAGTTGTGTTTACACTTCTGATAGTCGTACTGGCTTTACAACTACCACCTTTTAATCTGAATGGAGTCGCACTCTTCGCTTCTGTATCAGCCATCTTTGCGATGTTGTCAATCATCACGAATGTTTGCAGTTACTTGATCATGAAAGGTGTTATTCCAGTGGCGAGTGTAAGTCCTTTTGACTAAATTAGAGAGGATGTACACGTATTGCCCATCCAATAAAGCGAATTCTCAAAATAACAAATAAATTTCCTTTCAGTCACACCTTTCTTGACAGTCGGAATTAAATAGAATAAGGAATGGGATGTCGGCTGATTCAGATCGGATACATACACCAGCTGCCATCCTTGCGTATATTCAACCTCCTTGTGACGTATGCCAATAGTAGCTGGTTCATTTCGATTGACATATATGTAAAACTCAGGAACTGTGAAAGTGTGTAACTAGATGCATGGAACAGTGAGACGTTATTATTCAGTGGATGACGTTTCCAGTGGAATTTATTTCTCCTAATCATTTCAGTTATCATTTTGAACAAGAAACTGTGTTCGAAACTTTATTCAGTACGTAATACTGTTTCACAACTGACACGGAAATTCCATATTACCTGTCATCACAGTGTTCGATAGGATAGAGTATACCGATCAACGCTGAAGTTAATTTCATACTGTAATCTTATACTGATTGATATATATGACTTTCACTTTTGAATGTAATGATATTTCTTTGTAGTTCATTCAGCATACGTCATAATTAGCTGTGATATTTGTAGTCCGAAATATGGCTACCAATCCCATTGAATCTTTCAAGACATGATATCTTGATGGTCGGCATTGTTGAGATCTGAAGCGTTCATCATGAAAGATGTGTTCATGAGGTAATATGCGTACAACAATAAACCTAACTGTGTTTCTTCTCAAGTCATCTACTCTATTTCTGCATTTATTTTAGACTCAGATAATCTGCATTCTGGAATTGATTTTCACTGGGTTGTTCATAATCTTCGTAAGTTCATAATTTGATGAGTGTATCCAACATTCTTTTTAATAGTGAAATGACACATATCCCTTGATTCATTAAGTGGTCACATTTCATATTGCGTTTTTGTAATTTCATGTCAAACGGATTGTTCGACAGTATACTTACAATGCACAGGATGTCATAACTGCACATAGTAAATCACTTAGCAGACGGAATTATGCTACATTCCTAGTTGTAATGGCAGTCACAGCAGCTGCAGCCGAGAATATGTGGTTTATTACTGCTACGATCAACAACATTTACTGATTTTCATGCAAGGAATCAGAGTGCGTATATATCTAATCCTTTCATTACAATACAGCGGGTGCTATACACTGTCAGTTCAACTTACGCTTTATTCCATGCTGTCCTACTGTATGCTGAGGACATCTGCCATATTAAAGAATACTGACAAGGTGGACAGTGACATATTTAGTTTCGAACATTTATTCTTGAATTAGTCGTAGATTTCCATAGCTCTTTTATGAAAAAACAATGGGATATATACATGAGAAATGCTACAGTGGAGTATGGTAGTCTTAAATTGTTATGAAAAATAATCAATCAACAATTATCATTTCACAGGAAATATTTTTATTTATTTTTTTTATTTTGATTATAGCTTGACTCCATACAGCATTTTGGTACAAGTATGAAATTTTCAGCATGTGATACGGATAGCCCAAATTTCGTAGGCCGACCATTGATATCGTGTATCCGTTGGCAAGGGATCGAACCTTAGACCATGTGCTTGGTTGGCGAGAATCCTAATCGCTGTGTCATCGACCCGTACATACCTTCCAATGGCAACAAACATATCAGCTAGATTTCAGGCGAATAAATTCATATAGCGGTAAAATAGCAACCATTTAGAATTCTATTTTTTGCTACGTGTCTGTGTGCACAGCAGGCAAATCCAGATGTTTTTCTGGGTATGTTTGTGAGTTGAAAATAATCGAGATCTGCCTGATAAGCTTCAGGACCTGATGTAGAAAGAAGATTGAGTCGAGACACTCCTCGTTGAAATTGATTCTGGGTATTTCTCCGCTTTTCTGAGAGATATCCTTTCGATTCGATTCACTATCGTGATTAATCTCACAGAAAGACGTCGTTTCAAGAATTTCATACATTATCCTGTAAATATATTCCTTCTTTCTTTGCTCAAACATTGTGAACGGTCAGGAATACCCGACGTAATATTGGAAAGGCTTTCGTCGCGGCCATGTCTGTGCTAAGCCGAAATCTCTTCAACATCACACTAGGAACCATATTGATTCCAGCCATTGAAATAGAGGGGAATAGAGCTTAAGAATCCTCTGCATTATGTGAATTAACAGAAGATTAACATCAGGCATTTATTGACTATATCACTGTTTTTATAGAGAAGCGTAAACAACATCCATTCAGAAATAATGAAAGGTCTATTGGCTGCATAAGTGCAACAAGAATTTCTGGAAGATCGTATAAAATTTGTAACCTATCATTCTTCAGTACCCATATCTCTCATAAAACTGGAGACCTTGTCTGCTTGTCAACATTCTGCGACGCCAACTGAAACAAACATGAACAAGTGTCATACATATTTCGAATTTGAAAATTTGACCATACGACTTTGTGATATTCTTCCACTCACTCATGAGGAGTTCAAATGTTATAACTGAGTGATTCTAGACTCACATCGTCTGTATCTCAGTGCACACTCCAGTTACAGTAGCGTTTTACTGAACAACAAAGAAAGGAATTCAACCATTTGAGACATAATATGGAAGTGTTAGTTACACGACTTTATGCAAGCAAGTACAGCATAGTCCTAAAGGAGGAAAACGTCTATATTGACAAAATGCTGTCAATCCTTGACAACAAGAACTTCTCTATATTGAACGAAGAGAAGAAGAAAATAGAAATAATATTGAGGGTGCTAATCAATGATGAAGTGTTCTCCGAAGGTGTCTACGGAGTCATTCTACCATCCGACTCAATAATCCGTCGACTGAATGCTTAACCAGGGATTACCATTGTGCCTGCTTCCTGACATGTATGGGTCTCCGTATCATGCAGTTGAAAGAAAGTTAGCAGAAAACTTGCAACCTGTTCGAGATGATATTTCAAACTACTCTCTCCGGGAGACGCTCGATTTCGTCGACTGTATTAAAGAAGTGAGAGTCGCTGATGACCACGTGACTTCACTCGATGTTGAGTCAACCTCGACCGTAATAAAGAAGTGAACCTCGCCAGATACTAGCCTGCTAGGCTACTAGCTTACTAGTTTACTAGCCGGTCCCAAGCCCGGGTAAAGAGGGAGGGTTAGGGCGTGGTGTCAGCAACTCCACCCCTGTAAAACAACCAAATCGCTACAGAAACTTCAACGAATAAATATATTAAAAATTCTAAAAACATAAACAATAGCCTTACTTTTCGCTGGAATCGGGGAAGTGAAATGACGTAGGCTGGTGAAAGCTTTCGGGAAGCCAGTCAGCCGATGTGCCTTCTTTCGATGAGAGCAAAAGTAAGGATGGGTACGTGGAATGTTCGTACATTGTACGAAACTGGAAAGGCTGCCCAGATAGCCGCTGAAATGAGAAGGTACAGAATAGAAGTGTTGGGAATCTGCGAAAGCAGATGGAGTGACATCGAAGGTGCCAACTACCTACTGGAGAGACAAAAATCTATTCCGGCCACCCAGAGGGCAACCACAAGCACACTGAGGGAGTGGTCATCATGATGTCACCAACATCAACCAAAGCTCTCATGCAGTGGGAACCAATCTCCTCCAGGATAATGACAGCCAGGTTCAACTCAAAAGGAAGGAAAGTTACAGTCATTCAATGTTATGCGCCTACAAACGTCTCAGAAGAAGGAGGCGTTCTACAGACAACTACAAGCAATAATGGACAACGTCCCAAATGGCGATATCAAAATCCTGATGGGCGATCTGAATGCGAAGCTGGGAGGAGACAACACAGGAAGAGAACTCACCATTGGTCGTGAGGCCCTCGGCGAAATGAACGACAATGGTGAACTCTTCTCAGACTTCTGCGCCTTCAATGATTTGGTGATTGGTGGCAGTGTTTTCAAACACAAGGATATACACAAGACGAAATGGATTTCACCAGATGGAAACACCAAAACCCAAATAGACTTCATCTCAATTTCAAGAAAGTGGAGACGGAGCCTACTGGACACAAGGTCGAGGAGAGGAGCAGATGTGGGTTCAGACCACTATCTAGTAGAAGGGACTTTCAAGGTGAAACTAAAAGCCTCGAGGATAGCTGGGGATAGGCCACAATGCAAGTTCAACACTCAATTACTGAAGGACACAACCACAAAATACACCTTCACTGCAACTGTCAGAGCAAAGCAGGAAACACTACGCGACATCACTGAAGAATCATGCGTGGAAGAACATTGGAAGTCTCTGAAGGCGATTCTCAACGAAACGTGTTCAACGGTTCTAGGAAGAAAGAAGAGACAAGACAAGGAATGGCTCTCAACGGACACTTGGAAATTAATAGAAGAAAGGAGAATGGTGAAAGAGAAAATGATTCAATGCAAGGACGGACAGGAGAAGGAGACGCTGAGCTCAACTTACACAGCACTGGACAAAGAAGTGAAGAAGAGTGCTAGGAAGGACAAAAGACGATTCTACGACAACCCCGCCACTGAAGCTGAGAAGGCAGCAGGCAAAAGGGACCTGAGGACACTATATCAGATAACCAAATCTCTATCCGGGAAGAGATCAACACAAGCGAAACCTATAAAAGACAGCCAAGGGAACCCAATTACCAAGGAAGAAAAACAGATTAAACAATGGGCGGATCACTTCAAAGGACTCTTGAACCGACCATCACCTGCAACCCGTCCAGAAATACCAACAACAGCGCGCACACAACTGCAAGTTGACACCAATCCTCCAACGAGAGCTGAAGTCTTGAATGCAATCAAGCTTCTGAAAGCTGGAAAAGCAGCCGGACCAGATGGAATACCCCCTGAAGCACTGAAGGCGAACCCAGAGACTACAGCAGACATGCTGACTGCATTATTGCAAAAGGTCTGGAAGGAGGGAAAGGTGCCTACTGACTGGAGGAAAGGTTACCTCGTGAAACTACCAAAGAAGGGCGACTCAGGACTCACTCTGCAAGAACTGGCGAGGAATCATGCTCCTATCGACGCCAAGTAAAATCCTGAGTCGCATCATCCTGGAGAGATTAAAGGACGCACTGGAGACAGAACTCTGACCAGAACAAGCTGGATTCAGGAAAGGCAAACCATGTACTGACCAAATTGCAACTCTACGCATCATCATCACAGAACAAAGCATGGAATGGCAATCAAACCTCTACCTCAAGTTCATAGACTTTGAGAAGGCCTTTGACAGACAGCGTTGATCGTGAAGTAATTTGGAAATTACTCGAGTACTGTGGCGTATCCCAAATATTCATCAACCTTATTTAACAGCTGTACGACAGCGGCACATGTCAAGTGATCCACAACGGAAAACTCAGCGAGACATTTGAAGTAAACACAGGAGTCAGACAAGGCTGCCTGTGTATTATCACCAATGATATTCCTAATTGTGGTGGACTGGATTATGCGTCAGACAGTGGGAAACGAGAAGACAGGAATATCCTGGACTGACGCGAAGAAACTAGAAGACCTGGATTTCGCGCGTGGATGATTTATGTTTGATGTCACACAAAACCGAAGACCTACAAGCGAAAACCGACAAACTGGTCGAAGAAGCAGCCGGGAAGACAGGACTCCAGGTGAACACAGACAAGACAGAGGTGATGAAAATAACCAACCAACAACAACAACAGCAGTAACATTCATCGCCAATCACCATCAACGGGAGGGGTTTGAAAGAGGTTACTTCATTCACTTCAATTATATAGGGAGCATCGTCTCAACTAGAGCCAGTGGGAACGGATGAGGATGTCAAATCAAGCGAGAATCGGGAAGGCGAGAAACACATTCATCAACCTGAAATCAATATGGAAATCTTCGTCACGCAGCATTAACAACAAAATTCGGATTTTCAATACAAACGTAAAATCAGTTCTTCTATTCGGATCAGAAACTTGGAGGGTGGGTCACAATGAATATTTCAAACAGCCCGTTGCGGACCTTTATCAACAACTGTCTTCTCTGGATCTATACTGAAGATCAGATGGCCGGGCCGGAAAGAATCACCAACAAGAAACTATGGGAACAAACAAAACAAGAACCAATCGCCAGCCAACAAATATGCAGGAGAAAGTGGAGATGGATGGATCGGACACTCGCTGAGGAGACCGCTGGGTGACATCGTGCGTCAAGCCCTCGAGTGGAACCAGGCCGAAAGGGAAGCGGCGAGTGGGACGTCAGTGCAAGGGTGACATGGAGGAGATCTTTTGAAGAGGAGTTGAAGCAGTATGGACTAACGTGGATGCCGGTGAGAAGTACAGCAGAAGACAGAAGTGGCAAATGGAGTCGTGCAGTTGAAGCCCTATGTTCCACTAGGAACCCAAGGGAGCAATAATAATAATAATAAAGAAGTGAGAGTCATTGATGACTGCATGACTTCACTAGATTTCGAGTCAACCTCCACAAAGATATCCACTGCTGAGAAAATTTGATTCCAATTTAAATATTAGGACGACAACGACTTGAGTATTGGAATGCCGAATGTCAGTGTAAATCTACTTCTAATTAGATGGACTCAACAAGCCTAATTAGCATTCATTGGTGTATCTACAGATGCTTTTTAGGTATCTATGTGACCACCATTAGGACCGATACTTGCAGATATTTTGATGGCAGTATTGTTTCTCATTTTTACTCATGATAAATGCGACGTAAAATAATGTTCTACAAGATTTTATTAGTTACCACTGAGCTACCTATTTTAAATTTGAATTAAAAACCGGACAAAGAATCTCGTTTCTCCACAATCGAATAAGAAAATAGCCTGATAGGATAGTGAACCAATCAGTATGAAGAATGTTCACGGGGAACGGTCAACTGACACACTGGACGTTGATTACCCGGAAATCACAAGCTAAGTACTATGATATTCTTCGTTATGTGTCAGTGGGTGAGAGGTCAATCTTTTAGGGAAGACATATAAAATGGAAATTGTTACACGACACCACGCTTGATAGACAAACAAAACATTAAAAATTAAGAGTGGGGAAGCACAAATTTACGCCGAAAGAGATGGTCTGCATGGATGTGGGAGTCAGAGATGACCTTCCAGCTCACACACTAAAGTGGAGAATATCAAGTAGCTTGTTGAGAACGTTATTTGCTTCTGCATTAAGACAGATGTCCTCCTACCGCCCTGTGTTCTATTGCTCTCGACCATTTCGATTTCCACCTAAGAAACCACTTCCTACTGTGGAGTGAGATATGTAGGTTGTTGGGATCGTCGTTTGTCGAAAAGCGGGAAGGAAATTTGTCGCAGTTGGAGAAAGGGAGGTGGAAGTCGAGCAATAAGAAGTGCTATAACTGAACACATAACAGGCCACTGAGTATGTGAAGACATTGAATTCACAGCTATCCTCAAATTGCAAAGAAGTCATCCCACATAGTTAACATTTGCGAGGCTTTAACCAGTCGAAACGAGACACTCGCCCTTTGTTCATTTTCCTCAGTTTCTTAATAATTTATCTTGACGCTCGCCTCAGTGTTCTTTCAGTAAGATCGAATCTTTCAGAAAGTCACTCATATAACCCAATCTACATTTTCTAATCGTCACTCATCACAATAGTTAGAATTCTGATTAATCATTACTGTTCTGCAATATTCTGATGATGCATGCAATACTCCGAACTAATCTCTATTCTTGAGCTATGCACGCACACACTTACAAAGAAACGATCACACACATAAATAACGATCAAAATTGTGACTATACCGCAAAGTGAATGAATTCGCTGGAAGACAAACAAGCTATTCAATGAAATATCGTCATCTAATAAAGTTGCACATCATTCTTGAAAATTGCGATAAATCACACAGTGAGAAAGTCTTTTTTATCGGATAAAAATTTGAACACAATTCACTCTTCATAATGATGTGAACTCTAACTACACTTCTTGCGAGAGTTAAGAGTTGTACGTGGGTACATTTTCCTCTTCCTACCGCCCATGTTAATTACAGAAGCAAGTACATAACAAATCGCCTGCAATATGATCTCTTTACCGACTTCGAATCCGTAATTACTGCACCAAAGTTTTAGGCATTTCGACTTTATGTTATAAATATAATCCCATAAGTTTGATGAAGTCATTTAAAGCTAGAACGTGTTAATATGGAATATACATTTCTAAACATTTATGGTAATCGGTCTAGCATGAAAGTGATTGTTTTCTTATATTGTAGGTGGCGTTCACTTGTCTAAGTGGCCGAGGATTGATGATGTGGTGGTTCGGACCTAACAGCTTAGAGTGCATTCTAGCCTTCGTCATCTGGTTTCTCATGATGGGTCTGTTCTCACTAATATGTACGACCTTAAAATCTTGCACAAAATGGAACATGGAACTGTCATGTTCACCATGATTTTTTGCTTGCCTTTCTCTCTGAGTCTAATATGAGACATTTATGGACAATTTTGACACAAAAATTCACTACTGTTTCGCGATTACCAGTTTCAAATAAAAGATATTGAACCATTATTTCTTTCTGTGATGTGAAGTATTTTTTCAATTTCACCTCTAGAAAAGAGAAAGATTGAGCGAAGAAATATTTACTTTTCAATTAGATCCTCATCTCTGGCTCTACTCTAATATATATAGCATTTTAATTACAATACACAACAATTTACCAATCAAGTGGCGATATGTTTGTTAACAATAATTAGTCGGTGTCAAAATGTCAATGGGGTGATAATTAACGAAGAAAAATTAATATCTATAATTAAGAGGTGGAAATGGTTACAACACGTGGATTGCATAATGCATAATTTTGGAAAAATGAAGAACAATTAAGGAATAAGCGTGTGCACATGTTGATTACGTAACAGATTGTTAAAGAAAATAAAACAATTTGGACAATGATAATTTGTAACTAAAGTTGAAGTGGTCATAAGAATAAAATAATTTTTACAAGGATAACATGTAATTAAAGATGAAGTAGTCAGAAAAATAAAATAATTTGGACATTTATAGTTTTTAAAAAGAAAAATTATTCTAGGGGGAGGGTGATGGAGTAGTCCGGTTTATACAGTCATGTAACGATGGCCAAGGTAAGGAAAGTGGCTGTACAAATTTCTTCTGGATACACAAGTTTGGCTTCTTCAGGTGGATTCCTATTGCTTCAGCTGTATGTAGAAGACGAACTCGTAAAGCAAAATTAAGATTAGTAGGAATGCGATAAATAATTTTAAATGCAGTATTAACATCAACCTTATGCTCACTATCTACAAGGTGGGCTAAAATAGAGCTACGAATAGATTTTGTTTGTCCCTTGCTTAACCATGCCGGATGATGTTCGGAAATACGATGATGAACCTGCCTAATTGTTCGCCCGATGTAGCTGGCTCCGCAGCTGCAGTCAAACTGGTAGATACACATAGAAGAGGCGAATTTAGGTAGTTTATCCTTATTACTCGAACGTAGGATAGGTGTGGTCGTGAAGAGACAGCGTACCTCTGCTGCATAATAAGCTAGGATTGGGCCTAATGGGGAACCCATAGCTACACCATCAATTTGTCTGTAATATTCCTTATTGAATAAGAAATGAACGTTCATTGTACATCACCTCCGTTTCAATTATCGAAATCGTGAATGTCTGACGCAAAAACAACCAGCTAATGCTAAATAGTGCACAGACAATGAATGTGCTTATCATGAAAGTGAGACTAAGCAGCATGACTTTGAAGAATCAAGTTAAAACGAGTATTCGATGGAATCTAGAATATTAGTACATGAATAGGCATGTGATTAGGTATTAAGGGAGACAATTTGAATTTGGTGAAGAAGAATAAGAATAAAAGGAGAACCTCGAGGTTTGTTGGCGGCAGAAGGTAGATAGAGAAGTCCTCAAACATAGGCCAAACACCTGAATAGTGCTGAGCGTTTCTGTTACCGTTGGATAGACAGGATTGACGTAAGGGTTATCTGGTGACAGTTATGGTTAGAGATGCGGTTGTCGTAAGGTATGTAGTGAGAGTTAGAGTGAGAAGTTAAGGTGAAGTTTATGTTTAGGGTGGCGAAGATAATCAGCAGAGATAAAATGGAATATTAATACGTTGAATGAGATAAGCTTCGAAAGGAAACAGCAGCTATGATGTCGGAGTAAAGCCACAGTACAAATATATAAACTCGCACTACTTACTAGTGATTACTAGCAAAGAGTTGAACACAAGGCAAAGATTAACAATGGGTAGGTAAGGAAGGAATTAACGCGGCCACCTAACAACCAGCCTCGATTTATCCAGTGTACTTTTCAATTAGATGCAGACATAGTGCAACTATACCAAGCAAATTTACTGTTTCTTGGACTGAGAGGAAGCAACTGTTCTCTTCCTTCTATTGCATAGGCGATGAAATTAAGTTGACACACTCGCTATCATGACACAGGGCAATGGTGAATATAAAGCAATAATTTAGAGTCTACGCAAGGCAGCTAACATTTGTGACACGCCTGAGTGTTCTTCTAGTTTTTGGTGATGCGAAACGATTAACTCAACTACAAAATGACCACTAGGAATAATTGTCTGGTGCTTGAAGGGTATGGGGTAATAAGGATACCACCAACACACAGTAATCCATCAACCGACATGGGAGACGATTTTCGCAATTCTGTCGTTTTATTGACTCTATCGCCTTCTTCTTGAAGCTCCTGCAACAACATTACATACATTTTATTTTGTATCAACGACAATATGTTTTATTGATATAAGAATAAAACTTGTGCACTGTGGTAGAGTGTAATTCCATTATGGGCAAATTTTGTTTTGATAAAGTCTCACAGTGTTATACAGTAATGTTTACTGATGACGTTTCGAGCACAATTTATTGCTTATAATCATATCAAAGTGATTATATGATTATGAGCAATAAATTGTGCTCGAAACGTCATCAGTAAACATTACTGTATAACACTGTGAGACTTTATCAAAACAAAATTTACCCATAATGGAATGACAATATGTTTTGTTTGCCAGCCTCTATTTCTCTCAGCGTCAATTAACTCGTATTCAAGAGGTTATCGTGGCGACAATTATGCACGGTGATGATATATACAATGTGTCTTCTCATTCAGGATACTGATTTCACCAGAGTCATCCAGTTCGATTGGTAAGACAGAAATGATTTAAAGATCCTTTCTGTGGTACTGGTATTAACTCGAGCGAATTTTCTTAGGATCAATATTCCCTAGATGACATCCATAACTAATTGACACAAACTCGAAAATTTCTCTATTCTTTAAGAACACGGGACCGTAGAGTGAAGCACTCGAATTCGATTCGCTCTGTATGCCTCATGATGTACAGTCGACGGGGCTTTCATCTGAACTGACGCATCCCCACTGACCCACAGCACTTAGCTGGTGAATACTGAGTTGCTAATTAGTTTCCTGACATAGTGTACGAATACCATAGAATCAGTCAAAAAGAAAACCTTATCAGAGAAACCAGGAAGATTCTTTCTTATCACTTCGTTCACGCTAGAACTCAAAAATAAGGCTGCTAATTCAAATCTGGGCGCGGTTAACGGATCGTGGGGACCACTCTAGCCTTACCACACAGCGAAATCCTGACCAAATTTTTCTCTTTGCAGTAATAAAACCTGAAAATTGTAGGCATAGAAGGATTATGCGGATTTTTTGAAATATGTGAAAACCTCATGATTCTAGTGAGTGTTTTCTGTCATTGTCATACTTTGCCTCGATTTAATACGAGTATTTCAACCATCAACTATTTCTGCTTACGGTTAATGTACTTGGTAATTACATGGAACTCAACTACGTGAGTTGGTTTACAGCAATCAACGATTAATGTATCTTGATGACGATGCAGATTGTTTTGTTGCAGATAACTGTGACTGGTTCATTGTAGGCAGCTTTCACAGAAGTTAATCAGCAGCATCACAAAGCACGAAACGAAACGGAGAGACTTGAATTCTGGAAACCGACAGTATTTCCTTGTCATGAGCACGAGTTGGGGTTGCTCGAATTAGTCTTGTAAAGTGTTTCAGATTCTGAGGGCAGTAGTAAATATAAGAAGCACATGATTTACCGCCAAACGAAGCAAAGTGTATGCCAGAATATCGGAGTGTACTTCAATGTCAGTCGTGCTAACAAACTAATCTGAAATTGTGTCATCGAAAATATTCCTAGAGAAATACCATGGAGGAAAGCTTTCAAAATAATCTGATATTTCCTACGACTTATTGTTTATTGGGGATATCGCAACATTATTTATTGCAATGGCAACGGTGAAATGCAGTGCTTCTTTGTAGTTATAAACCACAATGGCTGAAAACCAGCGAAGCGAAGACTGAGGAGAAGATAGAATACATTGAAACATCTCAACATTGGTACTGGTGATTGTCCAGTCGTATGATGTGATTGGTGAGTGAATGGTGACAAGCAGTTGTGGGGATGTTGGCTGCCGACTCTCTTCTTTTCTGCGTGTTTTTACACCATCTTCTGTCCCCGTACCAACCAGGAGAAGTATGTAAATTTGGGGGTTAAATTCATAGAAAGAGTGACGCGAAACAATATCACGTACCGGCTCACATGGTTCGCGTCTGCTTGTTATCGTAGGTGCAAGTTTGACTGCATTTTTTGGCACTGGCAAATGCGCCAACCTCACAAACTCATTCCAGATTGGGAGTTTTGTGTCTTCCACAGGCTACTCACGGAGTGTGGAGATATGTTACTAGATTGGGTTGTGTGATTATGGGACGACTTCTCGGTTTAATGTGCTTTCTAATACCACACAACTCCTGAAGTACTACGATGAATGCGACCACTCGGAAACTTGATGGCTAGTCGGTTGGAGGAGTGAAGGGATCTTTAGAGTAGGCGGAACCACTGCACACTAAGGCATAAATTCCAGTGACTGGCCCGGTAGCCTCTTCACCCTGATGGGTAACTCTGCTGACTCCATCACAGGTGAGTTTTAACAGTGTGACTGTTAGTGAAGTTGGTATTTTACACCGTATCGTACTTCACATAGGCAGTATGCCCACTTACTCACCTGAATAGTATACCACATTACCTACAAATAACGGTAACAATACACAAGTTGATGAGACCTAATAAATTTAGAAATGCAGTCTGATGAAAATTATCTTTTAGTGGGATAAAACGTCTCGATTATTTTGAGAAAAGTTGTCGGTAACATGTTGAAGAAATTTGGTGGGATACGCGACTCTGAGGATGTACATGCCACCTATACAAATCGAGTGAGAATTTAGTGTCTGAGTTTAGTCAGACGCGAGACTGTTGAAATAGAAGAAATCGAAACATCAAAGCCATTCAGAGACGGGATGGGAACTGATTTCGGGTTAAGTCCATCCATTCTCTCATTGTCGCTCAGGGTTTATTCAGGTGACGTGGAAGACGCATTACATATCAATGACTGAATGATTGGTTTCAACACACAAGCACTTAGCACAAGTATGCGCCAGCTGAAGTTCCCAGCCTTCCTCCATACAGAATACAAAAAAGGAAAGAGGGAGCAATTAGCGATTCAAGAGAGGGAGAGATAATAGACAGAATTGTGAGTGACGGAAAAGAATATTCGTGTGGAAGATGAATACAGTTCAGTCTGATATGACCAGCTGCAAAGAGTCAGTGCATCTGCATAACTCATTGAGAATGATTCTGAGCCGTGTCATCAATAATCTCCAGACGTCATTGGTTCCTACCATCCCGAGGAGCATTTCCGTCATAAATAATTTGTGACTGTTTAGTAGTTACTGTTAGAACTGCAAAACATTTCTTTGTGATCTTGAATTTAACAAATTGTTTCATTTAATTTCAGCTCCTATTGACCTCTATTGCTAATCGTAGCTTGCTGCCTGATCTTCAGTATCGAGTCAGGGAATGCAGAAGTTGATAGAAGCCTGCAGCTTGTTGGAATCAATTTTTCGTGACGTACGTGTCGATTCTCTGAACCAAATGAAAGTATATTAGTGTTGGAAACAGGAATCGTGTATCATCGATATATTCAGGTATATTCTCACATTACTTTGTTATAATACCTCCACCACAGGATATTACGGGGTGAATCATGTTTTTGAAACAGATGAGGTGTTTGACTTTGATGGCCTTATTCAGCGCTCACAAATCAAAATCAACGCCATTTACATATGTCAAACGTAATCTTCTCCTTATACTTTTGCTAATGAAACCAGCTGGAGACAACTAGATCTTTCTGTGTGGGAATCTTCATCATGAAAGTTTTATATGTATCTAAAATTGTTGTTTCACGTTCTATCTGAATGGCAGTGACCACATCTCAATATGAATGTTTGTCAAATAATCGTATCTATCACCCAGTAGTATCACTTTCTATGCTTCATCTTCTTCACTCTTATTTCTCTAATAGGATACAGTACACGGTATATAATGGTGTATCTTTCTCTCCTTTGCTTAGTAAAGCTAGAGTTCCGCAGGGTGCTGTTCTCTCGCCGTTTCTCTTTTTCTTGTTCGTACATGACCTACCTCTTTCAGACGAAATCAACTTCGTCAAATATGCAGATGGCCTGACTGTTTCGCTTCCCGTTAAGTCTCAGTCAAACTGTTTCAAATTAAATAACTTTCTGTCGGACATTAGTTGGTGGTCTAAACTAAATGGTCTCATGCTGAATCCCTCAAAATTCCAGACTATTGACTTCTCCTTTTGGCATAAACAAGATCTACAAACACTAGTAGGTACTCGTGAAGCCTGTAGCATTGAGGGGACTAAAATTGAAACTAAGTCTAATGCAAATACCTCGGACTAGTTCTATCATCCGACCCTACTTGGCCATCTCATATCCTAACGATTTCTAAGAAAGTGTTCCGTCTAGCCTACTACACTAAGAAACTCAGACTAACTGGAATCACCCAATCTCTACTTTCACAATTTGTCAACTCTCGTATCCTACCTATTCTACTTTACTGCTCCTTGGCTTCTGAAAAAAGACCATACCATCTTGAGAAGGATGTTGAAGGTAGTTATTAGGACTAGTGGTATAAAACTCAGTCAGCTCGTCACTACATTAGTAGAAAGGCATCTGAATACATGCGAAAAATGGTCTAAGACCATCCTCTCGACCCACAACACCCTCTCTATTCCTAACTCTCTCCTTGCAGCTCATCAGGTAGAACCAGAAATCAATACAAAATAATATACGCTTGTTCAACGAAGTGTAGGAACTCAACGAAACCATATTTGGGCCGTGTTCTAAGTGACAGAGACAATGCTGAGCGCGAAACCTATGACTTGCTTTGTTGTTAATAACAAAATTTTTGCTTTTTTATTTCTTTCTTATTCGTACTCTATAGTGGACACTTTCTTAAACATAATTAGCTACCTGAATTATTAACATTGGCTTACTTTCTTTTGTACTTTATTCTATTCCTTCTTTTGTGTATCTACTGGTATCGACTATATTATCACTATGAGTGTCACAAAATTATCCTGTCCTTAACCATCATTTAATATTAGTTTTGTGGTTGTTTTGTTCGGCAATATTAACTGACAGGCTTGGTTGTGAATGCAATTGTCACCATCTTAAAAATTTTGTACTATGCAGGATTACTCACACTACCGATACAAACACCACATTAGAGCTGACAATAAAAACCCTGAAACGCTTATTTTATGATTGTTTAGTGTTGTTCAATCAAATTAACTGATCATGCCAAAAACATTCTTAATATCACTTCATTACTTCTTGTATGGTACTATTTTATTGTTCATCACGAATAAACATATAATAGCTTCCATCACCCAATAATGAGATATTATGTATTACGTTGTTTTTTCCATTATACTTCTTGGTATTTTTTTGCATTTTTTCTGCTATTTTGTGCTTTTTTGTTGTTTTTTATATTAACTTTTTGAAATACTCCTTTTAAATGTTTGATAAATCAGATGCAATATAAGTGCTGAAAACTCCACACCGTATCACTGGTACTTTTTCTGAAATAAAGCGAATTATTATATTATATATTAATTCTGTGTTGGTTAAGTGACTTCGTCATTGTATTTCGATGTGAAACCTTTGTACTTTGAATGGTACTTTAGATTTGAAAGAATTAGCTCTTAACTAAACTCATCAGCAGATTTTGTTGAGTGTTGAGTTTGTTAGTAATACACTAGTGTGTTAGGCGACATTCATTGATATACAGCGCGCATAACTGGATGATTATGACTGAAACCACTCGATTTGAGATATGATAACACACTGAGAAAGGTAAAGCATCAATCAATAAGATAATGATAATTATTGACAGTTTTGACGAATATATTTGCACAAATATGTGACGATATTCTGAGTGAGAGATTACAAGAGAGGAGCTAACTTAAGTAGGTGAAATTCACTGTTATTTATTTTCCTTGCTGTGTTTCATTTTTGACTGATTAAGGAACGTTTATCAATTTTCATAATCAGCAGATGAATGTATTTTTTATGGCGTTTTCTAAATACGCTTTCCCGTTATTCTTATTCTTATTGTGATTAGCATTATTTATTCCATGTATTCTCAGTGGAACGTAGGGCTTCAGCGATTTACCTTTATTGCATCCCTTTTTTCTTTTATCACATGCAGCTAGTTTCACCATTCCCTAGCAGATTTCATCTTCACAGTCTCCTTCATTTTGTCCTCGCAGCCCAACCAATTTCCTTTTATTTGCTTCCCACTGGACAGCCTACTTGATTTTCGATTTCACTCGGAGGTCTCCTCAGGTTATATCCGACTCATCTGCACTTTCTTCGGTATGTCTTTTGGGTGACAGCTTCTTTACTGGTTCGCTATCTTCCATTGTCTCTTATTGTTCGCGCTTTGAGACAACCCAACTGATCTTCACTATCCAACTAAGGCAGCTATCAGTTACAGTCTACAGTCTGTTATGAATGATTTCATTGATAGACATAAAGTGTCTGAAATATATGGAAGCGATGAATTGACATTAGTGTAAAACATGCGGATAGCATTCCTTATTCTGAATCCTGTAGATTTCCACATCGATTAAAAAATGTTGGACACCAGTCTTCATTTCCCAATCCTTGATATAACAAACTCACATGTGCCGTCCTCAGTTGAATGGGTACTGTTCAAGTAATATGCTTCAATAAACTTACTCAGCTGGAATGTGTATATTGATTTAGAGTGAAATTACAGGCTGATTTCAGTTGAGTTAACTAAAAATGATGAGTTTATTACTGTTGGTGGTCAAATCATTGTAGAGTAATTCGGTTCGTTGGCTGTATATTTTTCAGGCCTTACTCTAACCTCGCCTGACATGAATTGAAACGAAATTAAATTTGCGAAATTTCGGTTTGATAGGGATTCACTACCTTTGACAGTTAAGATGAAGCCAAGTTGTTAGAATGGGAGCACACAGATTCTGATTTTTCGTTACTCATATTTAACATGTAACCGGAATTGATTCAATTGGTTTCTGAGGATACTGAATCGAATTGAGCTGTTCAGGTATCACTGGTTTAGTAAATTAAAGATGTAAATGAGCGTAGTCAACGTTTCTGTGGTGTAATTGTTCACGCAATAAGTTTCTCCATATATCCAGTTAAGGTTCAGAGGTAAACATCATTACTTTTACTTGATTCCTTAAAGTTCTCAGCGAAACATAAAACACCGAGCTGGATTTTCGAGGTTTCAGTGTCAGTGGTTTCATTCTTACGATTTGGGACTGTCGACCTCACGCCCAACCTTCTCTCCATACCGGCATTACCATTGGCTTGCAGAGGTTTAGGAGTGGTCGACCGAGGATCGATCTCCGGACCATGTGGGTGGTTGGCGAGGGTTGTGCCACTAAACTGCTGACGCGACAGAGGGAACCGTAAATCTCCACATTTGATTAAGAATCATATTTCATCATCTTGACAAAAAGACATTTTGTGGTGGATTTTGAATAATTCATCACGTATTGTGAAAGTCAGTTCAAACAAGAATATAGGTTGTACTACATTTCTAATATTTGTTCTGATGCCAATCAGTTTTCTCAAATTTTGTTATTATCTTCACTTGTCAGTACAAATATGAAAAGAAATGCAGCTGATGAGATTATGGAAGGTTATGATACATCTGAGAAGAATTTGAAACGTCAACGTCTGGAAAGACAACCATTCTCTGTGAGTCAAGTGATTTGGGTGAGGGCATTATGCGTTCTTCAACTGATTTTCATTTTTAGTTCGCCGTCGACACAGTATGGATGGTGTTGATAACAGTTGCAATAGTTATATCGTTGACCATAATGTAAGCTTAAATTAAACTTAACGTGCCTTGTAGAAAACAACTTTGCAATTTCTTCAAGCAAAATGCTTACGTGAAGTATCTCATTTTGTAAGTTGGATATTTAACATTGACTACTCTGTTTTATGCTTACAATTGTGAATATATTCCATTGGAAAATGACAAATAATTATAGTGTTGCATTGAATTTGGCACATTTGTACACTACCTGTAGAACAGTGGAAGCTGTTACTTAATATATTGTATAGTGGAAGGAATATATTTGACACAGAACACATGGATATCATGTTATCTTTTCACTGACTATAATGTGAACTCTGGCGTATTCCTCAAAATCATTTCAAGATAACCAAAATAAATTCTGCAAACAGTCTGACTGGTGGGTGTGCTACTGAAACGAACTATCAGTAGTATATATACACAGACAAGAGATGTTCATTGGCATAGAGGGTAGAACATGAAATATCTCAGCAAATGGTGATTTGAAGATAAGGTGTGCATAATTTGATTATATAGAGACACCAAATTGCAAATAAACACTCCTTCACCAAGTCTTTCGTCTTGTAGCATTATACGATGAAGCCCTTCGAATATTTCCTCTTTATGTTGTAACAACCTGTATTTATACGGATTGCGCCACATTCAGTTTTTTGATGGAGAGAACTGGAGGACAACTCGACTACATATAAATTACGGGATATCTCAGTTTCTTCTCATTGCTGAGTTCTTTGATACATGAAACTAAATCAACTTATGACTGGGGAGATTACTAGGGAGGGATTTGTCATCATAGATTTACAAATGAAGCGAAAGCATGAAGGAAGAGTATAGAATGGTGTCAGTGAAGTTTGCCGTGTTCTGTTCAATACACAGAATCACGATCATCTCACAGAATATAAGTGAACAGAGATTAAGTCAGATAAGTAAGGAAACTTTCTAGATTGTTAATTTCTGCATTATTTTCGCAACTTCATTACTGTGAAACTGTCAGTCTGAAACTATGTGGTGATTCTTACGTACTCATTGTCAAGGATGAAGTTATTTTGAAAATAGCAAAGTCAATGAAAGTGATAGGGGAATAAGTATATTCCAAAACTGATATCATATGGAAAGTGTGTATTAGAAATCTTGTGTGTTTGATTCCACGAAGACTGGAAAGAGATTAAGAATCATATATTCAGTTCACTCGGAAATTTCGATGACGCACACACAGGCTAAACACCTTCCTCTGCACAGTGAACTTAGTGTCCTTAGCAGTAAGGAATCAGATCACACCAATTAATCGGGATTAGGTGAGTTTTCAGTACACTGGAATTGAGCTAGGTGTACAATGGCACATCTGGATAGGAAGAATTTTTGCCGAAAATTACTTAGTCATTGCACAGCGTGTTTGCAGACAATTGCACCAAACTGAGACAAAGATATGTGTGCTACAAATCAATTTACACAGTAGGTACGTGGATCTTCACACACCACGCTGATATCTGACGCAAACGATATAATACGAGCAATGGGGATAAGCAAGAAATGGGAAAATTGGTACACCCATTGTATTGCAAGGATTAACAACTTTAGGACGATGTAAACAACATCAGGACTTCGTGTATGGAGAGATTTTGTATAAAGAGACAAAGAAACTCAGAAGGAATATTTCAGTGAAGTTCTACTGATTTCGTGGAATTGTATTCTTGCATTCATTGGAGACAATAAAGATTGGTGTGGAGATAGAGACTTTCACTCTATTTCTCATAATATTTCACCTATTTATTATTAATTTACTAGCCTACCTTTGTGGTCTTGTGTCTGCTCAACAACCATTTGATCATTTGACAGCTACAGCTTGTCATGAAGTAACTAATCATGGATATTTTTCGATCAAATGTATAATGATTGAGAGATGGCTGTTCGATATTTGTCAATTCCTTTTCAGGCTAGGTGGTTTCATCCCGCTGCTTCTCTTTCTATTCGTGAAGAAGCTTCAAATGCACTGTCTCATTGTTCGCATACTGCTTGGATTAACAGTGAGTATCATTTTTATTTTTATCTTCCATTGTACCGCAAGAATTTACACTATTTTGCGAACAGAACCAATGAAGCGTAACCGCGATATTTTGTAGGCATTTACAGTTACCATAAATGCACTAACTTAATCAGCCATTTCGGAAATTGAAAATATGAAGATATTTGCAGTTCTGATAATAAGGGCTCGTTTTATTTCGTGGATATTCTTCTACCCCGTACATCTCAAATAAATCAATTAATTATATGTTACAATTTTCCGAAGAAACCTATTACAAGGACTTCAAGTTATACGCAGCGAAAGACAGTATTGGTAATATAATTTCACGACTGATGTCAGTAGACAATTATTTAGTGTTAGATGAGTAACTATTTCTGTAGCGATTAGAAAAAGGAGGTGGAATTGGTATTTCCCTTAAAAACAAGAATGGACTAGAGACAAAATACAGGACAGAACAACAGACAATGGTTGGGGTCGCGCTAAATCACGAATTGGTAGAAGTTAGAATTCACGAGCCATTGAATCGGGCCCCAGTGGCTGAATGGTATACGAGCTTGCCTTGTAACCGGAAGGTCCTGGGTTCGAAACCCAGTGGGTGCGTACTGCCGATGACTCCCAAACTAGGATGAAACAGCAGCTGTCCAGTACTCCCTGGTTTTCAATGGTTCTCTAACTGATATCAATCCGTGATCAACTCGTAAAACATAACTAATCCTTACAAACCAAAAACTATAGAGAGTTAATTTTCACATATTATGGTAGAGAGTTATGGGGGGTAGGGGTGAATAGAAAACGAAAACTATAAGATACATAAAATAACACAACTAAGTAGATTTTGCAGAACCCTAGTAGGGAGTTCACCTCGGCAACTGAAAAACGAATTCACGATTGAGTGGGATGTTGCGCAAGAGAACAAGAGACTTACAGTTACCAGGCAGGCAAGTGAGAGATTAGTCACAATACCTTTCTGTTTTGCATATATAGATTGGGTTGAAGTATTTTGATAGCAATACTTTCTGTAAAGCGAAGTAAGTAAATTGATATATACTCGGATATGTCTTATTCGAAAAGAATTTATGAACGCTGACCGACATTTCACGGAATATTTCCACAGAAATTGGGAACGGGATGAAAAGAAGACATATGTGAAATCTATTTTCGTATAAATATCAAAGAAATTGAAACAGATCATCGTTACACTTCATAAAGTCGATTGAAGAGTAATTAAAATTAAAAGAATAAAGGCATATGCTCGAGTGCTCATCGTAACTTTATAACAACTGATGTCGAATCATGTCTGAGTCACGAACGGTCATGAAATTAAAAAATTGCATGTTTTCGGATGAAGATTTGACCACATACTTACACCAACTGATTATTACTTTTTCCATTTAACATTGTGAATATTGGAGTATACGTCTTGCTGACACGTCAAGTTGTGAGAGGATCTATATATGTACAATGAAGTGAACAGGTATGAAACTTCAAACAATTTGTGAGCATATTCAAAATCAATTAAAATGAAGTAACAGATCCCTGCAACTGTAATTCATTTGTACATCAATTATACGTTTTCAATTAGATACATTTATTTTGACAACTCAGGGTTATCTGCCACACATAAATTACAAACTGCTGTCGAAGTTAGACATAGTCAGGACAACGAAATAGGCATGAAAATGACTGCGATACACATTTTATTTATTAATCAATCAATAACTGTACAATTGTTAACCTATGGAATGCCTACTCAAGTAGTCTGTTGTCCTGAATCACGACTCTCTTCATTGCACTGATTTTTCTATTCACTATTTCGAATCTATCCACATGATAAATTAGGAGACGTCAGTATACAATTACATTGCCAACCCGACCTGTCTTCCAACTAGAGTGCCACTCAGTGGGCGATGATTTCATCTGAAAAATTGATGTGATTTGGATCCAATTAAAAAGCTTGAGAATTTCATGTTAGGCTATACAGTGATAAGATGATGTGAGACTGGGTTTCTGACTCACTCCAAGGAATCTTGCTGATGTGCATTAAACATATCACAGCATCGAATGATTCATACAGAATCATAAATATTCAGGAGAATACTTCAACTGGCTTTCATTCTTGTATAGATTTTCAAGGAGCAGTGAAGAGTCATTCTACAATGGCTTCCAGCGGATTGGCTGACTGTATGTGCAGTGAGTTATTATTTCAGATTACTTGATATTTTGTGTGTGCTTTATTCTCATTTATCAGATTTCATTTACTTCAGCTTTATTGTTATTTCCACTTCCATTATGTTACAGGTTACAATGTGGTCTGTGTGCTTCGCTGCATTGTTGGGACCCATTGATGTGATATCTGGATTAGTGTCACTGGGTGTGACAATTGTTCTGTCGGTTGTCATGGTTGTTTTAGCTCTAAAGCTGCCACCGCTGAGTGAAAAAGGATTGTTTATTTCTCTGACGACACTACTTACTGTTATGTGTTTGGTATTCGCTGAGGCAGTTTCGAAATTCATTCACAAAAACTATGTAATTTTATTTTCAAATATTAGTGTTAATTATGAGTATATGAAAGGTGTCTTCAGAGAAATTGTGGCGTGGGATGAAAGTCATACGTCCTTGTATAGAATTGTTTCCCTAACTACGATATTCTTTTCAGTTCCACTGAATATCAATCTAGTAAAGCAAACAAATATACCAAATGTTCATCGGATATAGATTCGACATCCGTGAACGGTAATCAATTTGTTACGGTGACACAGTATTTTGGACTTAATGATAACATTCAATTGGTTCTATAATAACTACCAAAAATATTGCCAAAATCTAAATATCACTTGATTTGATGAGTCTTAGTGATAAAATTTTAAAGTAATGGATTATTATTTTAAATGACGTACAATCACTTTCATTCATGTCTTTTACTGTCTATCACGGTAGTATGTGCGGTTGTTTGGATTCAGCATGACTCATTGACTGCTCTACTTCCACATAGGAGTTATTAGTTTCACAGATCACATATATGGTAATCATTGTATTATTGAATGTGTGAGAATATTGCAATTTTTTACACTGCTATACATATATGAGTAGATGCGTCAATATGGTATTTTGTGCGGAAAAATAAAACATGATTTTGAAAATTTGTCATTAAACTATTCTTTACTCTTTTGTTTTGTACTTACTTAGGAGTTGCTTGCTGTACAAGGAGTACTGTCTTGCATCTTTGTACTCATTGTGAGTTGATGATTTGATTAGTATAACCATTATCTTCGTTCTTTCAGAGCTACACATGCGGTTATCATACATGACCTCTTTGTGTTTGTGAAGTAGTAACTTGTGTTGGGTAGTTCGTCATTTAATCAAAAGTCATCTGCAATTCCATTCACATAGTTTAGAAATTTAACCCAATTTCTTATACAAGTAATCAACAGAGATTGCTAACAGTTGCCCAGGTCTATTATTAGTTAGTAACAAAGCCAATCAAATTGGATGAGTAATAACTATGTTTTGAAATAATAGAGAAGATTTGTAACTAAGGTGGATGCTTTGCAATAAATAGTGTTTTCTGAGCTCGTTGGTTTAGTTGCGGAGCTTTCGTCGTCTTTAAAAACATATCTAAATATGGTTACCGGGAGACGCAATTATATCACTCACGAAGAAATTTTATTCATTTCACTTTATCCTAAATAGTGCGCTGAAGATGTCGTCCAGAAAGACGAGGAAAGCTCCGCAACTAAACCAACCAGCTCAGAGAACACTATTAATTGCAAATAACTATATTTGACAAATTAGGAATAATCTTGCGTAATCAAATTGGGTTGACAATTTATTGGTTGAGTGATATGGGAGATAAGAAGAAGGATTGAATATGCGTTGAAGTCATCAAAAGAGAAGACCTTTTAACTGTTGCCTCATGTGTTTTTGATAACACGCAACGCGATATTTTCATACTTTGATTTCTGTAGGCATGCTAAAATTGAGGAAATGTAAAATTGTATTCTAATACTGATTATTTTTCAGAGATATGCTCTTCCATGTAAAATTATGTTTTGTCTATTCACTTTACAGATGATGTTTATCTTTGTCAATAAACGACAATTAATTCTGGAGCCGCTGTCATCTCCTTGCTCAGAAACCTTTCTGGGATTTATCGTCTGGTGTACGATGATAGGCCTATTCACTCAAGTATTAATCTGCTTTCCATCATGGAGTGCTACAACTTGTCCAGTTTGATGAGGATGTTTCAAAACTTCTCAGTGTTTTGGCGATTGTTTCCATTCACAGATTCAATAAACAAGCGTATTCATTAAACGTCTATTCCATACTACTTTCAGACTTCTTGTTCACTCATGCAAATATCATTTATGCTTTTTCCCCTGCTTTATGTGATCCTTCGAATCCCTGAAACACTGGGATTCATCAAGTATAAGATAAGAACTAAAAATGAATGAAATTATATTTGTTCAATTGTTTTACATCTTTTCCATTGTTACTTAGGTGTCTATTAGAACTGTGATGGTGGATTGTTAGTTGATGAGATTTGTCTGTGAAAACACTTAGAAGAAAAGTACTTGAGGAAGGCGTAGTTATACAGAACGTTTGCTCTATATATTTGGAGTATGATAACATATATGCTGATGTGGTATAACCGGTGTCCGAGGGGTGCGCACTTCTTCACCGAATAGTGTGTAAGCTTATTTGTATACTGTCACATTTTGATCCCATAACCTGTAATATTATCTATTCCCCTCAGAAGGAAACTGACCTTCGCATCGACGTAGAAATGTTTGTTATAAAGAACATTTCTCGCTCATTGAAAATGTTAGTGTTGTATTCAATTCATGAAAATGTCCCTCAGAATGTTAATAAAAATACTAAAAGAATAATAATAATAATAAACCAAGACAAGTACTTCCGCGAAGATGTTGTTCTAGTCGACTTTCAGTCACTCGCTGATCTCCAGTAGCCAAACTGACAAGATCTTGTGTATTTGAGTTCACTTATTACTGTGGACTAGTTATTCATATTGGGCGTTTGACGCGCATCCTGTATAAAATGCTACCGGAATACTACTCCACGTGTTTACTGAAATATGGTACTAATTACTGTATAAGGAACGCCATCATCGAACACCTTGTCAACACTAAACATTCCATATCAATAAACTCCTCCTTCAAATTAATCTACAAAGTAAGGAATAAGCTGACAAAGTCCTTACGCTTTCGCCTCCTTCGCATTCCTAAAGTCTTTGCTATTCAAAAAGAGAAACCAGAGTTATGCATACCAAAGGAAATCATTCAGTCACTTCCACTATCACAGTAATAACCTTATGATTTCTGGTGACTTCACAATTGTTACTTGGCTTCTTTTCTAACCTCTTAAAACTCTTGTATTTCTTTAGAACTCTTATACATCTCAATATTTTCCTTGGTCCTTGTGTGCATCCAGATAACAAAGCATTCTTTAGACTACTCATCATCAATTTAAGGAACTATATTACGCTTATTCCTCCTCTTTTCAAGCATTGATTCATATTAATGACTATGATTTTGACAACTCATCACTTTTGTTAATCCCCTCCTTAATGAGGGGAAATGCCATCTAAATGCGATTGCATAGCTGGAGAGAATGAGTTCGCTGAAAAGGGTATTAAATTTAGAGGTCCATATAACTAGCAGACCAAAAGACATCCAACAAAGCCTAATTGATTTCAAATGCAAAACAATCACACATATCTACCGTGTGGGATTGGAGACAGGGAGAAGTTTTTGAATTGTTTATTTTCACAGAGTGCAGCTATGATAAATCTACAGAACATGTGAAATGGATTACTCAATCAAAACTTGATAATCTCAATGAAATTTTTCAAGTTCAGGTTGAGATTATTCTATTAGTTTGTATAAATTAATGTGGATATAATACTTGAGATTTCAATACGTTGATAATTTGTAATACACGTACTACTCTGTTACAACCCTCCAGCTATTTATCCCTTTTTTTCGCACACTGCGTGAATTCTTTATATCAGTGTCAATAAGAATAGCGTTGTGACAAAACACTAACTCTCCCAATTGATTATACACATGTTTGAAAGCCGTTGCACCTCATGAAGATTTCAGGCATACAGTTTTTGATATCTGCAGTGATAATTAGGCGTTTTCATGCAGCGGATTGTAAGCTGAGCTGTTCTAGCAATTTGTCAGATATTTGCAGCCGATTATCCTGTAACTTATTCCATATCTGTTTTCCGATACCAATATTTATTACACTCAGCATTTATTCTATTATTTCCTTATGATTGTGGATTCGATTCTATCCCTCAAAAATCTTCTCTTAAAAACTTCTGTCAAGAAACTTAACCCTAAGTTCCTATTGTTTGCGAAGACGCTCTTAATAGACAACTACTAAGTATGATTATCGATATGAACTCCAAAACACAAGGACTTGTAATAAGAAAATATATTCTTCAGCAGTTAAATCCGATCTATCATACCAAATGTTTTACAAACAATGTATTGTACTTTTATTCGTATTCTTTTGTCTTCTTCTTCCAACTTGTACACGATTAAATCATTCGCGCCTTGGAGTTGCCCGCCAACGGCTACCAAGGCCAACAAACCAACGTTCAATGTCCATGTTCTATAAGCGTGTTTTGATTTCGTTGCAAATATAGCTTCATTCAATTTTTACTGAAATGATGATTGATGCGCCTTGTCTACTTCCAGTCAATCAAGGTTATATAAAATTTAGTAATAGCATTTGCATACTAAGGACTTTCAATGACAGCGTTTAACTTCAAAGAAAAGAAGTTATCTAAATTTGTCGGTTCTCCCTTTTTTTCTTATAATCTGTGTCAAAATAACCTGTGGGGTGATTTTGAGAGTTGCTTATGAATCCACATTGAGTTGATGACAGCTTTACTATCCAGTCCTCTAATCGACTAAAATAGAACTAAGTGTAAGCGCAATATCGCTTGAAATTAAGTCACGCGTAGATAAAGGCTATCCCGGTCCAGAACAAACAAGAAGCCGGTCACTTTTTCTACGGTACTATTAATAAACAAATCAATAATTATATATACAACAAACCTTAACGGTTTCAAGAGTACAAAGCACAACGCTTAACAGAAAGCAAGGTACCGCTATCAGAGCGGAATAACGTTAAAGCCAAAATCGCGAACTAGCCGGAACCAGACACGACCGTTCAGGTAAGCAGTCAGTAGAAGAATGAACCCAAGTAAGGCATGGCATAAAACAGAGAGCGTTTAAGAGAGATAGACCGATCATAAGCACAAAGATAGAATTTAATTGGCTACTTAACCAGGTAGGAAAATACAGATTAAAATCAATAAATAAGATAAACTCGACAGAATAGTACAAAGTTAGACATGGGTCAGCAAAAATAACAGTTCACAAAATACTCTGATTGGGCCATTAGTTCAACTATCTGACTAAACGGATCGAGGTAAAAACACATACACAAAGGTCATTAAACAAAGGGGGATAGCCACGTTAGGTATGGATAATTTGGTTGCAACAACACTAGGCTGACCCGGGACAGGTTGACTTGATTCAAGGATGGGAATTGAATCGATCTTACACTAAGACAGTCAATTATTCACCCGAAAACAAACAGCGAAGATATAAAGGAACAGAGCAACCACCGACACACAGTTTTATTTATAGAAAATCTTAAATATTTTCAACATTTCGTCTGGCAATGTGCTTTGAGCACCCTCAGATTCGTTCAGTCTGTAAATGATTTATTGGTCAAAAATTGAAGTTTATGTCTTTAAGTACACCTGCACATCAGCGATATTATTAGTTCAATCTTTCAATCAAATCAGATAGACGCAAGTTGTTTGATAAAGTTTAAGACTGATGGCATGAAAAACGTCTCACTCGTACACCAGGATTATTCATTGCAGTTGACTGGGTATAGTTAACTTTCATTTCGGTTTAGCTTTGTAGGTTACTCATAATGTCAACATAATTCACCTCTCGTGCTGAAAACTGATTCGATACGTTTCTGATATATTAATTTTCATTAGAAGGGAAAATAATATACAGTAGTCTGGTTTATATCCAATCATCTCAATTCGCCTCGGCGAAATCAATCTGCACTGTGGAACAAGTGTGTTCTGCGAAATACCAATAATAAAGTTCATCTGCTTGATAAGCGTTGATAAAAAGTTTTGATTATTTCAGCTGCGGATACCGTCACCGACCGAGATGTTAGCCTATACATTTGATTTATGAGTATATGTCGGTGGCACAGTGGTTAGGACTCTCGCCGACCATGCACATGGTCCGGGGTTCGAGCCTGCACCGACGCACATCTGATATTTATGGTCGGCCTGCAAAATTTGGGCTACCGATATCCATGCTGAAAATTCCATACTTGTACCAAAAATACAGTGTGGAATCAAGCTGTAAATCAAAAAAAAATATATGTCAGTCAGCGAACTCCTCCCAAATTCTGGCTCATTGATTATACCGCTCTAAAGTCATTTTCCATTGTGTCGCCTAGTTATTAAGATTCCGCGTTTCTTAGAATTTTAAAGAACGCATTTCTTATCATTCTAGTTACTTATTCTTCATTGGGATTGGCTATCAATTACGTTACATAATTTTGTTAACTGCTGCTAAGCATGTCATCATCCTTAGATTCGAGTGAGCATTTCATTTCAGTCGACGAATATATGTCTACTTTGGTGGGAGCTGATCGATCGAAGCTACGATTATATTGTAGTTGATGACTCTCACTTTGCTATTTCTATTCTGCGCCTACAAATGGAAATGAATATTCATTAAAATATGTAAGAAATAATTTCACCCTGAATATTCACTCACATATTTGATCCTCCAGGATTCACGCAGTTGATGACACTTCTATGGAACCGATGAATTAGTCTTGTGGTGGCAGGTTGTTTCCATTACACCCCACAAATTCATCGAGAAAAAAGATTTAATGAGAAAATCAAATAATTTCATACATTTGGTTCCCTTGATAAATTTTGATAAAGAAAGGAAGACGAAATTTGCAGTATAAAATGATATCATCGTTCTATTTCACAGGTTCTCATCAGCTGCAAACTACCTGAAAATACAATGGTTATATATGGATGATAATAACATACTTTAATGTTTATGTGGTAGTAGAGAAGAGATACTATAAAAATGAATTATCCAAGTGAGTTTATGAATTCACGTGCACTTGCGGGAGCAAGTACATTGGAAGGACAGAAGGAAGGGTTTATATCAGGTTTTCTGAACATATTCCAAAAAACCTGTGACAGAAAGGAAGCGAATATTCCCAGAGTGCAATTACCAGACACATTCCTGATACCGGACATCTCGCAAAGATTTCTAAGTCCTTCAAAATATTAAATAGACAAAGGACAGCAAATTTACTACCATTTGCCGAAGCAATTGGA